GAAACAAATGTCATTCTACAGATGACCAAGATTTTAATCGCAGAGAGCCTCGGCTACAACTTACTGAGCGTCAGTCAGTTAATGACAAAAGGCATTCACCTCGAAGCAGACAGCACCGCTCAAGAGTTCAAGCTGTACCACGGGAAGGGCGGCCTCTACATCGGAAAAGCAGTCCTGAAAAATAATGTCTTCGTTCTCGATTTCGTTCCAGATCTTGGCACCGCCGACAGCGACGGCATCGTCAGCTTTGCTCCTTGGACACATCCCCTAGATCTTGACCCAGACTTCAGCCCCGGTGGTTTCTGGCACTCTCATACAATACCTGAGACAGAACGAACAAGAGCGTTAGCAACAATTCAACAATTGGCAGCAGCAGAGACAACATCGGCAGCAGCAGAGATACCATCGGCAGCAGCAGAGACAATATCGCCAGCAACAAAGACAACATTGGCAGCAGCAGAAACAACATCGACAGCAGCAGCGGCAACATCGACACCAATCGCTGGTCCTTCAACGGCACCAATCCTTATCACTGATTCACCACCGACACCAGCACAGCAGCTAGCTCCAACTCAACGAGAAGTCCACCGAAGCGCCAATTTCACCACCAGCCTCTACTCCAACTCTGACATGTACCGACACTCACCCGGGCACCGCGCCAGCGAAGACATCTGGCACGCACGGATGGGACACCCAAGCAACACAACATTAAACAACACGATAAGAGCAGGAGTGCTCGACAAAGATTCACTACTACTGCACGACGGGAGAGAACTTCAACGAGTCAGAGGAACATGCTTCACCTGTCCTGAAGCCGACTTACCGCATCAGCCGTTCGTCCCATACCACAACCCAAGTGCACCCGCTTATGCACCACTCGAAAAGGTGTACAGCGATATCCTGTACAATCGCGCACCAGGACAAGGAGCCTACAATTACACCATCACCTTCATCGACGCCGCCACTCGATACGTCTGGCATCTCAACCTTCCAAGCCGCGACATGGCCTTCGAAGCCTTCGTCGCGTGGCTCCCCGTAGCAGAAAGGGAATCGGGCGTCAAGCTAAAGAGTTTTCAGTCAGACGGGGGAGGAGAATACACCTCACAAAGGTTCAAGCAGTACTTGGCGGAAAGAGGAATCAAGAGACTCATCTCTCTCCCCTACGCCCACCAACAGCAAGGTGTAGCAGAAAGGATGAACAGGACCTTGCAAAACACCATGCGCAAACTGCTACGTGGCATGCGGCTACCCACCCACCAGTGGCCTGAGGCGATGGACCACGCTGTCATGCTGCACAACTTGCTCTCCTCATCGTCGCTCCCGAACAACGCATCACCGCACCTGCTGTGGACAGGAAAATTGGGCAGCACAAAAATGTTACGAGTTTTCGGCTGCATGGTACAGTACCGACCCCCAGCTGCACGAGCCGGCCGATTCTCCCAACGCGCACAGTGGGGACTACACTTGGGCATAAAAAAACACTACAACGCATGGAAGATTTTCGCCGTCGAGACAAAAGAAACAGTGGCAGCACGTGATGTCATTTTCTACGAGCGACTCACCCTTGACTCCTACCAAGCCAATCTAACAGAACAGCGAGAACTCACCAGTGGATTTCGTCGAGATCGAGCCTTCGCCTCGGCAGAAGACGAAGCTGACTGGGACGAGCAGAACGTGGAGGGAGCCTCGGAGGAAGCCGGACCTCTCCCTTACTGCTCCGTGGATGTCCCAATGGATGACGAAAATCCTCGCGAAAGCGTCAACGCCGACGTCTTCTACGACCTCGCCGATGAGGGTTACGTTACACCTGCACAGGTCAACACCAACGAAGCAGAACGCGTAGGACCAAATTTCAATCCTACACCAGAAGCGGGAGACGAAGCAGTCTATCCCGAGGACACCACACTCCCCCGCTACACACAGAGTGGACTCCAGATACTTGGACTCGTCACCGCAGTCCACGGCGCAGCCATTCCTAAGGAGCCTGCAACAGTTCAGCAGGCTCTGGGGGGGGAGCATAAGGAAAAATGGCGTGAAGCCATGGACAGAGAACTGAAGGCATTAGAGGAGCGCAACACGTGGAAAATTGTCCCTATCGGCGTAGCACGGAACAAGACCATTCTCACCGGGAAATGGGTCTTCCGTGTGAAGACAAAAGCCGACGGAACCATCAACAAATTCAAGGCGCGCTGGGTCGTACGTGGCTTCGACCAAGAGCACGGACTTCACCGAGACATTCGCCCCGGTCAGCCGACACACGTCGTTGCGGATTCTTCTCGCGATCGCCGCCATGAAGAAAAAGAAACTGCGACAAATTGACGTTGCGAACGCCTTTCTCTACGCACCTGTGGATGCAGAAATCTTCGTCGAGCTACCGCACGGCTCCAACGGAGAACCTAACCACATCTGTCAGCTGCTCAAATCGCTCTACGGCATCAAGCAAGCCCCACGGCTATGGCAGCAGTACCTGCACGCTCGCCTCATTCGCATCGGTTTCAAGCAACTACCCCACGATCAGGGGATGTACCGGCTCACGAAAGGCGCAGATTATATCCTGCTAATCGTCTACGTAGACGATCTCCTCTATATCTGCTCAACCAACAGCGTTACCACCTGGTTCGAAGGGGAGCTGCAGCAGGACCTCACGCTGACAGTCTCATCTACCGTCACACAGTACCTCGGCCTCAACATTCGAGAAGAAGAAGACGCGATCTACCTCAGCGCCGCAAAATACGCCGACACCATCGCCAAACGCTTCGCTCTCACGCCGACCGCCATCTCCACGCCATACCGTTACATGGCAGGAAACATCAAAGAAGGCTCTACTCTACTCAAACCCACCGGCATACGCGACTACCAAAGGAAACTGGGCTGCCTTCTCTTCGCAGCCGTCACCTGCCGTCCGGATCTATCATACTCCGCAAGCCAGCTCGCAACCTACCTGAAGAAGCCTGAAGCAGCTTACCTGGCGGAGCTCAACCGCGCTCTTCACTACCTCGTCAGCACTCCAACGATCGGCCTATCATACCACAAGAACGGAACTACAACGCCTAAGTTAATCGGCTACGTCGACGCCGATCACGCCGGCGACTCCGACAACAGGCGCTCACGCACCGGCTACATCTACCGCCTCGAACCTATCGGTCCTATCTCCTGGCAGTCGAGCAAACAGGAACTAATTGCTCTCTCCTCTGCTGAGGCAGAATACATCGCACTCTGCTCAGCCACCAAGGAAGGACTCATCTTCGTGAACTACTGGAAGAAGCAAAATTGGCTCAGTTACCCAGCTTCACCCTGTTCTGCGACAACCAGTCGGCAATTCGTATAGCCAACAAAAGCGGCTTCGCGAACAGGACGAAACATATCGCCCTACGATACTTCTTCGTGAAGGACGAGATCGAGAAGGGAGACTCGAACTGTCATACTGCCCCACGTCCGAGATGGCAGCTGACTATTTGACCAAGAAGCTCGGAAAACAGAAATTCGAGTACTGCATGCTGCTGACTGGACAGAGCCACGTCACCAGCAGCGACACTCCAGAAGCGAAGGGGAGTGTTGGAAACAATTGATTTAACGCGCTTCTGTCGTGTCGAAACACCAAGTTAGAAGCGAAGCGAAACATAACGAAACACCGGCGAGTCAACCCTCGGAGGTTGAAAGTAACTGTTGGAGGTTACGCGAAAGTCAAAGGTCAGCGACCTTTGACCTGACAAGTACAGCGCGACAGCAAGGACACACAACTGACTCGCTACAGAGCAGTTGCCCGCGTCGCAACTGTATTGAACCGCAACAGCAACAGCAAAGCAGTTATAACTATATCTCTTCATATTCCTTGTATCCCTATATAAATGCTTGTATCTCCTTGCTTTAATTAACTTACTTTGCCCTCACATACCAGCGCAAGGTGGTTCAAGATTTCTTCATTAAACGCTTCCGCTATTACATCATCTCTACCCAGAGTTTACCCTTGCAAAAGATCCTAAGGGCTGTCTCAGCCCAACAATCAATACCGATGCAGGCAGTTAACATTTGAAATGAAAAGAGCGGGAACAGGTTTGAAACAGGTTCCCGCGCCGCACGGTTTGAACTTCGCTGCAATAAGGGAATGTACCCCTTAGAATACATGGCTAGTCTATGACTTTTTGTATTCCCTGAATCTTCTATTTATTATCATCTCAGTAATTTTACATTCACTTTGACCTGGGGTCTGTCAAACTATATATGTGCTACTTTTGTGTAGGCTATAGTGGGGTAGCCCATATGGGGTACAGCCCAAAGTTAGGGTTAGTACTTGTACCCACGTTTCATCCAATGCAAGCATTCCTGTCTGTTAGTTTCAATACGGTTTCAGAGCAATAGCTCCCTAGGACCGAATTTTTTTCGGGGCCCACCGTCTGCTACCCCACGCCCTAGCCGCCTTGCCTGCGCGCCGCCCGCCCGCTTGTTAGAAACTAGAGACAGGAATGACTTGAATTGAAACAGAGTTGGGTACATATCCTAACCCTAACATTGGGTTGTACCCTTTATGGGCTACCCCACTACAGCCTACACAAGTATATAACATATACAGTTTGACACCGCTGCCTCGTCAGCCCCGCGCGCTGCTCGCGCATCCCGCCCGCTGCCTCGTCAGCCCCGCACGCCGCCCGCCCGCTGCCTCGTCAGCCTCGCGCGCAGCCCGCCCGCTGCCTCGTCGGCCCAGTGCGCTGCTCGCGCATCTCGCCCGCTGCCTCGTTAGCCCTGCGCGCGCACCGCCTGCTGCCTCGTTAGCCCCGGGCGCCGCCCGCGCGCGGCCCTTACCGCCCGCGCCCTGCCCCTACAGCCCCGCGCGCACCCTCTGCAGCCTCGCGCGCCGCCTTTGCAGCCCGCGCCCTGCCCCTGCAGACCCGCGCGCACCCTCTGCAGCCCTGCAAAGCCGCCTTTACGGCCTGCGCCCTGCTCCTGCAGCTCCACGCGCACCCTCTGACTGCTTGTGCGCTGTTTATCTTACTCTAACGGCCATGGCATCTATCAGCGTTGTGTCGTTTGATCCTGAGGGCCGTCCGATAGAGTTTGATGCCTGGCTCGAAGATCTGCAGCTGTACCTCAGGACTGATGCTAAAGACGGCGTATCCCTCTTTGACCTCGCGCCTGGCACCTCAGTCGCTCCATCAGACACAACTGACAACCTCACTCGCTCACAGTGGCTTACCCGTGACGCTGCTGCTCGCCTAGCTATTCGCAAGCACTTGTCGTTAGCCGAACGCACTCACTTTGGCCAGCACAAAACTGCTAAGGCACTGTACGCTGCTGTCATCGCTCGCTACTCTTCCCCAGCCACTGCTACTCTCAGCCGCCTTATCCTACCCTACCTGTTCCCTGAGCTATCCTCCTTCGCCACAGCTGAGGACCTCATCGCTCACCTTCGCGCTAGTGACCTACGCTACCGCGCCGCCCTCCCAGCCGAGTTCTTAGACAAGAACCCTCCCCCGATCATCACACTCTACTTCGTAGTCACCCGACTCCCTGACTCTCTTCGCGTAGTCAGGGACCACTTTCTAGCCCTCCCCCCCACCAACCTCACAGTCGACGACCTCGAGAAGCACCTTCTTGCAGCTGAGTCCAACATGGTCGCTGTCGGTGCTGCTCGTGGCACTCCCCGCACTCCCCTCTTTGAGGGGTGTGCCCCCTCCCCCTTGCCCCCTCCCACGCCTCTGCTGCTGCTGTTGACTTCCTTGGTGCTGAGGAGGTCGGTGCCGCTTCTGCTCCTAGTGGGAAGCGCCGCAGCGGCAAGGGCAGGGGAGGCAAGGGTGGCAGCAGTGGCAGCCGGGGGGGGTGGTGGTGGAGGCGGAGGCGGTGGGGGTGGTCGCAGTGGGGGTGGTGGCGGGATTGGAGGTGTCGGTGGCGGTGGTAGCGGGAGCGGTGGGCGTGGTGGTGGTGGAGGAGGCGGTGGTGGGAGCGGTGGCGGTGGCGGCGGCAGTGGCGGTGGTGGCGGCAGTGGGAGCGGTGGTACCGGCGGTGGTGGCGGACGTGGTGGCGGACGTGGTGGAGCTGTTCAGCGGGGAGGTGCTGGTGGTGGCCAGCGCCAGCAACAGCAACGTCTGGACGAGCCCCTCACGCCCCAGCAGCTTCGTGAGTGGTACGCTCAGCGTGGGGCGTCTGGGGGTAGTGCTCGCTTCCCGTATGTCGCATTGGGGACCGCACTGGTCAGACATGCGGGAAGTTTCACACCTAGCACCGCTGTTTTTCCCGCCTTGACGGAGCTTGGCGCGCCCAGTTCCCTGACGCAGTGGAGCTCCCCAGCTGGGCGGACCTGCTTAAGCGCGATATTGATATCTTTGCACTTGCCTTTGATGCTATCCTTGCTGCCATGTATGCATTCATTGTTAGTGCTGATGGGGACTGTTACTTGTGTATGCCACCAGACCCAGGTATAGAGTCTGCTGCTCTAGGTGCTAGTGAGTCTGCTCTCTCTGGTACCGCGCCTGCTGAGGCCTCGTACACCTTCACTCTTGACTCAGGTGCTTCCCGCTGTTTCTTTCGCGACAGTACCACTCTCACACCACTCCCAAGGCCCGTCGCAGTTTCCCTGGCTGACCCCTCAGGGGGCCCGGTTCTTGCACGTTCCTCCACTGTTCTCCCGTGTCCAGCGGTTCCGTCTGGCTCACTGTCACGCCTCCACCTCCCCTCATTCTCGACGAACCTGGTGAGCAACGCTGTCCTTCAGGATGTATGGGTTGATACCTTTACTCCTGGAGGGCAGCGTGTGGCGATCTGTACGTGCTCCTGGACTGGCCGTCACCTGGCCATGTTCACCCGTCAGCCTTGTCGAGTCTCTACACATTGACCGCTGGACCGCCTCTTGTAGCTGCGTCTGCTCAGGTGTCCGCGTCAGGTCAGTTAGCAGCCTCATGCGAGTGTCGCCGTCTGTCGCACCAGACTCTCTTGTGGCACCACCGCCTTGGTCACCCCTCCCTGCCACGCCTTCGTGGCATGCACTCTCGCCTCCTGGTCTCTGGTCTTCCCAGGTCTCTTCCTTCCCTCCCACCCTCGCCTGCCCCGCCCTGTCTTCCCTGTGTTGAGGGGCGGCAGCGCGCCGCTCCTCACTCCTCCTCGTTTCCCCCGACGACTGCTCCCCTGCAGACTCTCCACCTGGACGTGTGGGGCCCAGCCCGCGTCCAGGGCCAGGGCCGCGAGCGGTATTTTCTGCTGGTTGTCGACGACTACTCGCGTTACACCACGGTCTTCCCCTTGCGCAGCAATGTTGAGGTCCCTGCTGTTCTGATCCCCTGGATCCGCGCTGTACGTCTCCAGCTCCGCGAGCGGTTCCAGACGGACCTTCCCGTCCTGCGTCTGCACTCTGACAGAGGTGGTGAGTTCTCCTCCGACCTCTTGCGGGACTTTTGTCAGGGGGAGGGCATCCTCTAGTCGTTCACGCTTCCGGCCTCTCCGCAGCAGAATGGGGTTGCTGAGCGCCGCATTGGCTTAGTCATGGAGGTCGCTTGTACCTCCATGATCCATGCGGCTGCTCCACATTTTCTGTGGCCGTTTGCGGTCCAGTACGCTGCGCATCAGCTCAACCTCTGGCCCCGTGTCTCCTTGCCGGAGACCTCGCCCACACTGCGTTGGACGGGGAAGGTTGGCGATGTGTCGCGGTTCCGAGTCTGAGACGCTGGTGCTGGAGGTACCGGAGGAGCTGGAGCTGCTGGTCCTGGAGGTGCTCGTACTGGAGGTACTAGAGCTGCCGGGGCTGGTGGAGCTCGTTCTGGAGACGTTGACGCTGGAGGTGCTGGAGCTGGAGGCGCTGGAGCTGGAGCAGCTGGGGCTGGGGACCCTGGTGCTGGCGGCGTTGGAGCTGGAGACGCTGGAGCTGGAGGTACTGGTGCTGGCGGCGCTGGTGCTGGAGGTGCTAGTGGTGGAGACATTGGCGGTTCTGCTGCTGGTTATTTTGCACAGTGGTGAATGTTCTTCACTCCGCCGTCGCCGTCGTCTCTCCCGCCGCCTGACTCCGTGCTTCGTCAGGTTCTTACCCTCCCGTCTTCTACTGGTCTCCCGTTACAGCCCGGCTCTGCACTGCCTGCTCCTTCTCCTTACACTGAGCAGACAGAATCGCTTACAAAGCGTCGTGAGCCTGCGTCTCGTCCTGCCTCCCCTGTTCGCACTGTTCGCCGTGCTCGTCGTGTCCCGCGTCTGCGTCCTCCTCCTGTGCCTGGCACTCACACTATGTCACTTCGTCCTTCCTCTGTCCCCCGGTGCGTCCCTTTGCCGTCTCCTCCTGCGTCCTCTCTTCCTGAGATTCCTGACCCTGAGTCTGACCGTGTTCGTGCTGCTAGCCCCACACTCACGAGTCTCCTGGCTACTATCATCGTAGACCCGTCGTTTGAGTCCACTGCTGCGTCTGCCCTAGTTGCTGAGCTTGTTGACTTTGCTGCTGCCTGTCGCCTAGACTACGCCGCCAGTCTTGTTGCTGAGTCTGAGTCTGAGGCTGAGTCTGTCTGTCCTCCGTCCGTCGGGGGTGAGTGTGATCTTGGCACGGACGTCCTTGAGGACAGGCAGGAGGACTTTGACTCTCTTGCGACTGCTGTACCTCATCTCGTGGCCTGGCTGCTTGCGCCTGAGGGAGACCCGGATGCACTGGACATCCTGACCCCGCGCTCTTACGTAGAGGCGATTTCGGGTCCCTACTCCTCTCAGTGGCAGACAGCCATGGACGCGGAGATGGCATCCTGGAAGTCCACAGGCACCTACGTCGACGATGTTCCCCCTCCTGGGGCGAACATAGTCGATGGCATGTGGATTTTCAGGGTGAAGCGGCCGCCGGGTTCTCCGCCTGTCTTCAAGGCTTGTTACGTTGCACGAGGCTTCAGTCAGCGGCAGGGAGCTGACTTCTTCCAGACCTTCTCACCTACCCCAAAGATGACCTCTCTATGGGTGCTGCTGCACATTGCCGCTCAGCGTGACTACGAGCTTCACTCTCTTGACTTCAACACAGCCTTGTTACAGGGCACATTGCACGAGGAGATCTGGCTGCGCCGCCCACCTGGCTTCACTAGGTCGTTCCCTCCTGGTACCCAGTGGAGCCTCCGGCGGCCAGTCTACGGTCTCCGCCAGGCGCCTCGTGAGTGGCACGACACACTGAGGACGACACTTGCGGCTCTTGGGTTTGCTCCCTCCACTGCTGACCCGTCGCTGTTTCTGCGCACCGACACTTCTCTGCCGCCGTTCTACATCCTCGTGTACGTTGACGACTTGGTCTTTGCCACTGCTGACACTGAGGCACTCGCCCTTGTGAAGTCGGAGCTGCAGAAGAGACACACGTGCACAGACCTGGGTGAGCTGCGCAGCTACCTTGGCTTGCAGATCATCCGGGACAGAGCACGCCGTACCATTACCCTGACTCAGTGACACATGGTGCAGCAGGTCCTTCATCGCTTCGGCTTCCAGTTCTCCTCACCACAGTCCACTCCTCTGCCTACCGGCCACTCGCTCTCAGCTCCACCTTCGGACGAGTCCGTAGAGTCGAGTGGCCCGTACCCAGAGCTTGTGGGCTGCCTCATGTTCCTGATGACCTGCACTCGACCTGACCTCGCGTACCCTCTTAGCATCCTGGCTCGCTACGTTGCGCCTGGGAGACACCGGCGAGAGCACTGGGAGGCTGCTAAGAGGGTGCTGCGCTACTTGTGCAGTACATCAGGCATGGGGCTGGTGCTTGGAGGACGGGGTAACGGTGTCCTCACTGGGCACTCAGACGCTTCTTGGGTACCTGGCTACACAGCGGTCGTCACAGGGTTACACCTTCAGCCTTGGTTACGACTCTGTCTGTTTCTTGGCGGTCTACTCGCTCCTCTTCTGTTCTCAGCTCCAGTTGTGAGGCTGAGATCTACGCCACAGCCATGGCTGCACAGGAGTTACGTTGGCTCACCTACCTGCTGACTGACTTGGGAGAGCAGCCTTGTTCTCCTCCAGTTCTGTACGGCGACAACAAGGCAGCTCTCGCATTGTGTCAGGAGCACAGACTAGAGCACAGAACAAAGCACATCGCTCTGCGTTACTTTCTTGCTCGAGAGCTACAGCAGCGTGGCCAGCTTCGTCTTGCTTACGTGGACATGCGTGCCAACACTGCTGATATATTCACCAAGGCACTTCCGCCTAGTGATCATCAGCGGCACTGTACTGCTCTAGGCCTCGTGCCTACGTTCTCTCACTTGCTTACTGCTTGACCTTGCTTGTACTGTGATTTATATATCTCTCCTTGCATGTTTATCTTTGCCTGGTTGTGATCACTGTACTGCTTGCTTTGTTCTATACATCTCTGCATGTGAACTGGCCTTGTGGCCCTTTGCTTGTGCTCGGAGTGTGTGGTGACGTTGTGATCCACCCTGAGCTTGCTTTACTTCTCTTGACTGGTCTTGTGACCCCTTGTTCTCCCCCACTTTGCGTATGGGGGTGTGTCAAACTATATATGTGCTAGTTCTGTGTAGGCTATAGTGGGGTAGCCCATATGGGGTACAGCTCAGAGTTAGGGTTAGTACTTGTGCCCTCGTTTCATCCATTGCAAGCATTCCTATCTGTTAGTTTCAATAAGGTCAACACTTCCGCTGCAACGCTACTTACGAACAACCCTGAGCCGATCCTTGGCTAAGTCCCATGTTGAGAATCTAGGCCAAGAATGAATGAACTAGCAAGAGTTGGGATACAAATAGAAACCCTAGAATGTGTTGTACCCCATGTAAGCTACCCCACTACAGCCTACAACCAGCAACAAGCATCATAGTTTGACATCCCATTCGTGATTGTAACATAGCATGAGAGCGGTGCGAGCAGTGCGAACAGGGGAGACAGGACGAGACGCAGGCTCACGACGCTCTGTAAGGGAGACCGGCTGCTCAGTGTAAGGAGACGGGTCAGGCAGCGGTGAGTCCGGGGGAAGGGCAGTGTACTGGACACTCCACTTCATAGTCACCCGTCTCCCTGACACCCTCAGCTCAGTTCGAGACCACTTCCTTGCTCGCTGTCCCACTGAGCTCACAGTCACCCTCCTAGAGGAGCAGCTGCTCGCGGCCGAAAAGAGCATTGTAGCTGTCGGTGCTGCTCGTGGCGCTCCTCGCACCCCCATCTTTGAGGGGTGTTCTCCCTCTCCCCTCGCTCCCTCCTACGCTGCTGCTGCTGCTGTTGACTTCCTTGGTGCTGAGTCTGTTGGCGCTGCTTCTGCTCCTGGTGGGAGGCGCCGCACCGGCAAGGGCAAGGGGGGCAAGGGTGGTGGTGGTGGCGCTGGGGGGGGAGGAGGTGGGGGAGGTGGGGGGGGAGGCGGTGCTGGAGGGAGCGGTGGCGGGAGCGCTGGTGGGAGTGGGGTCGGTACTGGAGGCGGGGGCGGCGGAGGAAGCAGTGGCAGTAGTGGCGGCGGCGGCGGTGGCGGCGGTGGCGGTGGTGGCGGTGGTGGCGGTGGCGGTGGTGGCGGTGGTGGCGGTGGCGGCGGTGGTGGCGGTGGCGGTCGTAGCGGTGGTAGTGGTGGCGGCGGAGGTCGGAGTGGAGGCACTGGCTCGGGCCAGAGCTCCCAGCAGCAGCAGCGTCCCCAGACGACCCAGCAGCTTCGTGAGTGGCTTGCTCAGCGTGGGACGTCGGGGGGCAGTGGCCGCTGTTCTTATGTCATTCGCACAGGTGACCGCAAGGGACAGACGTGTGGGAGGTTCCACACCCCGTACCGCTGCTTCTCCCGCCTTGACGACGCTTGGCGTGAGGAGATGGGTGCGGATGTTGAGCGCCCCCGCTGGGCTGAGCTCATGAGGGCTGGTGTTGATGTCTTTGCTCTTGACTTTGATGCTATTATTGCTGCCATGTATGCATTGACTGTTAGTGCCGAGGGAGACTGTTACTTGTGTGTGCCGCCTGACCCAGGTATAGAGCCCGCTGCCCTGGGTACTAGTGAGTCTGCTCTCTCTGGTATGGTGCCCCCTGTACTTGCTCCCTCCAGTGCTGTCCCGGCTGTTTTCGAGTCTGCTCTCTCAGGTACAGCACCCACAGAGACTGCTCTCTCAGGTACCGCACCGGCTGAGGCCTGTCACACCTTCACCCTTGACTCAGGTGCTTCCCGTTGCTTCTTTCGTGACAGTACTGAGCTCACACCGCTTCCTGCACCGGTCCCAGTCTCCTTGGCTGACCCCTCTGGGGGCCCAGTCCTTGCCCAGTCCACCACTGTCCTCCCTTGTCCGGCGGCTCCGTCTGGCTCGTTGTCGGGTTTCCACCTCCCCTCGTTCTCGACGAACCTGGTGAGCAACGCTGTCCTCCAGGATCAGTGGGTTACACCTTCAGCCTTGGCTCTGGTTCTGTCTCGTGGCGGTCCACCCGCTCTTCCTCTGTTCTCGGCTCTAGTTGTGAGGCTGAGATCTACGCCACAGCCATGGCTGCACAGGAGTTACGCTGGCTCACCTACCTGCTGACTGACTTGGGAGAGCGGCCTAGTTCTCCTCCAGTTCTGTACGGTGACAACAAGGCGGCTCTTGCCTTGTGTCAGGAGCACAGACTGGAGCACAGGACGAAGCACATTGCTCTTCGCTACTTTCTTGCTCGAGAGCTTCAGCAGCGCGGTCAGCTTCGGCTTGTGTACGTGGACTCGAAGGCCAACACTGCTGATATCTTCACCAAGGCGCTCCCGCCTAGTGATCATCAGCGGCACTGTACTTCTTTAGGCCTTGTGTCCACGTTTCCTCACTTGCTCACTGCTTGACATTCTTTGTACTGTACTTTATATATATCTTGTTGCTTGCTTGCTAGGTTTTGATCACTGTGTTGCTTGTCTTGTACTATATCTAGCACTGCATGTGAACTGGCCTTGTGGCCTTTACTTGTGCTCGGAGTGTGGTGACGTTGTGATCCACCCTGGGCTTTGCTTTGCTTTGCTGGACTGGTCTTGTGACCCTTTGTTCTCCCCCACTTTGCCTATGGGGGTGTGTTAAACTGTATTATGCTTGTAGGCTGTAGTGGGGTAGCCAATATGGGGTACAACCCCAACTAGGGTTTCATATTTGTACCCAAAACTTCTGCTAGTTCATCCATTCTTGCCTAGTTCTCTTAACAGGTACGAGCCACCTCCATGACTAAGCCAATGCGGCGCTCTGCAATCCCATTCTGCTGCGGGACAGTGGATCATGGAGGCACTGGAGCTGGAGGCACTGGAGCTGGAGACACTGGAGCTGGAGGCGCTGGAGCTAGAGGTGCTGGAGCTGGGGGCCTTGTGCAGCAGCGACCATTTTTCTTGCCGTCGCCGCAGCTGTCCGAGCTACCGCCCGAGTCGGTGCTCCGTCAGGTTCTTAGTCTTCCTTCGTCCACTGCCCTTCCTAGACGCACCGCTGCCTACCCCCCCTCCTTACACGGAGCAGCCGGTCTCCCTTACAGAGCGTCGTGAGCCTGCGTCTCGTCCTGCCTCCCCTGTTCGCACTGTTCGCCGTGCTCGTCGTGTCCCTCGTCCGCGTCCTCCTCCTGTGCCAGGTACTCACAATGGCACTACGTCCTTCCTCTGTTCCACAGCGTGTCCCTCTGCCGTCTCCTCCTGCGTCCTCTCTTCCTATCGTTCCGGACCCTGAGTCTGACTTGGTTCGTGCTGCCAGCCCCACTGTCACGCGTCTCGTGGCCACAGCCGTCATTGACCCATCGTTTGAGTCTACTGCTGAGTGTGCCTTAGTTGCTGAGCTTGTAGACATTGCAGCGGCTGCCTGTCGTCTAGACTACGCTACTAGTCTTGTTGCTGAGTTTGCGTCTGTCTGTCCTCTGTTTGTTGGGGGTGAGTGTGATCTTTGTACGGACGTCCTTGAGGACAGGCAGGAGGACTTTGAGTGTCTTGCGGCTGCTGTACCTCATCTCGTGGCCTGGCTGCTTGCACTTGAGGGAGACCCGGATGCACTGGACATCCCGGCCCCACGCTCTTACACAGAGACGATTTTGGGTCCCTACTCCTCTCAGTGGCAGATAGCCATGGACGCAGAGATGGCATCCTAGAAGTCCACAGGCACTTACGTCGACGCAGTTCCCCCTCCTGGGGCAAACATAGTCGATGGCATGTGGATTTTCAAGGTGAAGCGGCCGCCGGGTTCTCCGCCTGTCTTCAAGGCTCGTTACGTTGCTCGAGGCTTCAGTCAGCGACAGGGAGTTGACTTCTTCCAGACCTTCTCCCCTACCCCAAAGATCATCACTCTTCGAGTGCTGCTGCACGTTGCCGCTCAGCGTGACTACGAGCTTCACTCTCTTGACTTCAACACAACTTTCTTAGAGGGCAGCCTGCACGAGGAGATCTGGCTGCGCCGCCCACCTGGCTTCACTGGGTCGTTTCCTGCAGGTACCCAGTGGAGCCTCCGGCAGCCAGTCTACGGTCTCCGCCAGGCGCCTCGTGAGTGGCACGACACACTGAGGACGACACTTGCGGCTCTCGGGTTTGCTCCTTCGACTGCAGACCCGTCGCTGTTCTACATCCTCGTGTACGTCGACGATTTGGTTTTTGCCACTGCTGACACTGAGGCACTGGCCCTTGTGAAGTCGGAGTTGCAGAAGAGATACATGTGTACAGACCTGGGTGAGTTGCGCAACTATCTTTGCTTGCAGATCACCCGGGACAGAGCATGGCGCACCATCACCCTGACTCAAGTCACGCGTGGTGCAGCAGGTCCTTCAGCGCTTCGACTTCCAGTTCTCCTCGCCACAGTCCACTCCTCTGCCTACCGGTCACTCGCTCTCAGCTCCACCTTTGGACGAGTCTGTAGAGCCGAGTGGCCCGTATCCAGAGCTTGTGGGCTGCCTCATGCACCTGATGACCTGCACTCAACCTGACCTTGCGTACCCTCTTAGCATCCTGGCTCGCTACGTTGCGCCAGGGAAACACCGGCGAGAGCACTGGGAGGCTGCTAAGAGGGTGCTGCACTACTTGTGCAGTACATCGGGCATGGGGCTAGTGCTTGGAGGACGGGGTGACGTTGTCCTCACTGGACACTCAGACGCCTCTTGGGTTGACGACCTGGCTACGCAGCGGTCGTCACAGGGTTATGCCTTTAGCTTTGGCTCCGGCTCTGTTTCTTGGCGTTCTACTCGCTCGTCTTCTATTCTCAGCTCCAGTTGTGAGGCTGAGATCTACGTAGGAGCCATGGCTGCACAGGAGTTACGCTGGCTCACCTACCTGCTGACCGACTATAGAGAGCGGCCTAGTTCTCCTCCAGTTCTGTACGTAGACAACAAGGCTGTATTCTCTTGTGTCAGGAGCACAGACTGGAGCACAGAATGAAACACATCGCTCTGCGTTATTTCCTTGCTCAAGAGTTGCAGCACCGTGGTCAGCTTTGTCTTGCCTACGTTTTCTCACTTGCTCACTTCGTGACTTTGCTTGTACTGTGATCTATATATATACCTGCATGCTTATAATCACTGTACTGTTTGCTCTGTTTTATATAACACTGCATGTGAACTGGCCTTGTGGCCATTTGCTTGTGCTCGGACTGTGTGGTGACTTCGTGATCCACCCTGAGCTTGCTTTGCTTTTCTGTGACTGCTTGTACTCCCCCACTTTGCCTATGGGGGTGTGTCAGAATATTGTGTTGTGTAGGGTGTAGTGGGGTAGCCAATATGGGGTACAACCCAATTAGGGTTAGTACTTGTACCCACCTGTTTCATAGTTCATTCCATTCTCCTGCTAGATTCTGACACTAAGTGTTTCAAAAATCAAGACTGCAGTCGCGCTTGACGGCAAGGATTTCTACACATGGAGTTTTGAGCTGGAGCCCCTCATACAAACAGCGCAGATCTACCACTACTTCGACGGTTCCTATCCTAAACCGGTGGAAGACACCGAAGACGCCCGGGCTCAATACTACAGTGAGTCCCTCATGGCGTACAGCGTTCTGCTACGCAACATGTCACCCGCAGAACAGCTCGGCATTCGCTCCTACAAAGAGAGCGCCGCTCCAGCTCTGGAAGCTTGGAAGCACCTCGTTGAGGTATATCAGCCGAAGGATTCCGTCACTGCCAGCAGACTCCTGCAACAACTTATGGAGACCAAGATGGGGCACGGGGAAAAAGCGAATACATATATTAACCGCTGCCGGAACATTCATGATCAGATCACGAAGCATGGAAGCGCCATTTCGGAGGAGATCTTCGTCAACATCGTCCTCCAAGGACTCGGGCCCGAGTGGAAGCCATGCAAAGCACTACTCCGACAGCGAGGAACCATCTCAGAAGCCGCGCTATGCGCCGCACTGCTGACTGAACAGCAGGACATGGATTCGAGCAGGACAAGCTCCGCGCCGCGCCGAGAGCGCCTCGCCTTCTACGCAGACAACCGTGAAGAGCGACGACAACCAAGGCCTCACTATTGCAAAATCTGCAAAATCTTCGGACACTCAACGGACCAATGCAAATCCCTGTCCAACTATCGCACCTGAATTCCACTCACCACAACAATTGGGTCGGCCGACAAGACGCTCGCCAATCTCAGCTTCACCAACAACCTTCTCGTCTTCCTGCTCAACAACAACAACAACAACAGACCCAAGCATCTCAAGCAGGAACTCCTAGAAACGTCATCGAAAAAACATGGCGACAAGGCGTCGCCCACGCACCGAGGAACCAGACAAAGAGGAAGAACTTGGCGAACTCATTCAGCCTGAAGATGGATGGAACAACCCCCTTACAGAGGATCACTATTACCTGTATGACGGGGAGGAGCAAGATTGGCACCAGCCAATGCAACAGCGGGATAGCCCGCCTCACGACAATCAGCGCTTCATACTTGTGGGATGGAAGGAGGACGAAGATCCGGCATTCCACAGAAGATTCAAGGCAACTCTGGTAACTCCGAGGCTTGCGCTAATCTTGCACAACGACCACAAAAAACACAACATCTGGTACCTGGACAGCTGCTGCGGCCAACACATGGTGGGATCCGTCAGGTACATCTCCAACATCAGCCGCGCCCCTGCCACCTTCGTCACTGTAGCCAACAACGAGCAACTGCGAGCAAGCGCGCAAGGCATCGTGGTACTACAAGCCCGAGAAAGCAACACGCACATCTTGTTTAACGACGTGCTCTACGTACCAGACCTTCGCTTCAATCTATTATCAGCAGGACAACTCAGAGATTGCGGAGTCATGCTCGCCACAGACACGTACAGGTGCGAC